GTCGGGGCTCCCCAGGTGGTTAGCAGGGTCCCCGTAAATGAGGACCAGTCATCTAGGAAGGAGGTTCCGGGAAAGCCTCTGTTCAGGATGTGCTCCTCACCGTGGTTCATCTCTCACCGATTCAGGCCTGCTGCTCCCTGCTGACAGGCGCTGTCTCCCGCAGTCGCCAGCTTTACCGAGCACAGCCGCTGAGCTGTTCGGTGTAAGCGTGTGAGGAGTTGGGGTGGGCAGGGCTATGGCTCTTCAGCTCTTCACGTTCTTTGTCAGCTTCCACCTCCTGTCACTGCTCTGTCCTAAGAGTGGCTGAGCCTCCCAAGTTTTGAGAACCTCACATGGGAGTAGGGCCGACTTCACAGAAGCACCTGGAGGCAGGACAGTTCGTGACACTGACCTTGGAATTAGAAAGCCCTTGAAGGGGAAAGAATTCACCACCACCACCAAGATACTAGAAGGGATGCTTCACTATTGTTCTCCAACATTCTACAAGCCACAGAAGATGGTAGACACCGAAGCACTTTTCACAAGTATTTTTTTTTTAATTGAACCGAAACAAAATTAGGTAATTACAAGACTTGTACAAAAATTCACAGAGACTGTGATGACGCTTTGGGCAGAACTGGTGACGTGTGTGCACCTCCTGACAGAGGCACCGGCGGGGAGGACGAGGGAGGAAGGGAGGGTCCCCCTCTGCACACCGCACCGTCCGCAGCAGGAGAGGGCTGCCTGCCGCCTTCCCTTCCCTCCCAGTGAGGCAGCAGTTCTCTGGAAACATTCAGTTGTCAGGAAAGTGGAAGCAGCAGCCAGAGTGGCTGGGCCTCCTGTGGTCAGGAGTCCTTGGCACTGTCCAGCTCCAGAGCGGGCTGGACGGGAAGAGGCAGAACACAGATTTCATTCTGGAAACACACACAAACCTCATGCGACATGATCAGTAAAATCCAAAGAGGCTTCTCTGCTCTTGTTCTTTGGTTTTGGTGGCAGAGTTTCAATAAGCACTCTCAATTCTGTTTAACATACACGTTAGGAAAAAGAAAATAAAATCGCCTTTTTCTCTTTATCTAGAGTTACTCAGAAGCTGAATAAACAGGCAGATTTTGACAGAGTCCTGGGGATTCATTTTCATTCCCACACGTCTCTACACCATTAGGGATAAAACTATCACGTGCTGGCCATGGGGGCTCCAGGCAGCCTCCCTCTCCCCAGCAGAACAAGCCACCCTTTCCTGGTGGGCAGAGGAGCTGGAGCAGAGCATCGACACCACCACTCCTACTAGTCTGTGGCCCACGTGAGGGACGGCGTCCCCTCGGACCAGCTTGGGCAGGACTGCAGGCCCAGTGGCTACTGCGGCTCAGCCTGCCTCTTGCAGTAGTTGCTATAGGCCTCCTCGAACATGGCTTTACAGGGGAAGCGGGCCTTCAGCTTGGAGCAAATGAGGAAGGAGCCCCCCATCTTCCTGTGTAGGGAGTAGGTCTCCTCGGGTGGGGGGATGAGACGGTGCTTCAGCATGATGGGAATCAGGTTGTGGATCTTCTCAGTGGTGCTCTGGGTACCAAAATCAAAGGGCTCGTCCGAGGCAAAGGCCTCCCCCAGGATGAGAATGGCATCCAGGTGGGCATCTTCCATGGCCTGGATGGAGGAGAGGAAAGGTGAAGGTGACGGGATTTGAGAGCGGCCACCCAGCCCCGTGGCCCTTACTGCAATGCCTTCAGCAGGCAGTTCTCACAGGAAGCTCTGCCTGGGGCCTGAAGCATGCTGGGCAGGTGAGTGAGTGGTTTTAAATACGCATCAGTGACAACAGGCAAAACTCAAAACCACAGAGCCTGGGAAGCATGAAGCTCTCAGAGCAGCGGGGCTCACGGGCTCATGCAGTAAGAGTGCCCTGCCTTAAGGCACCCCAAGTTTTCACAAAACACTATTCAGGGCAAAAACAACAGTCCATGGGCCAGAGTCGGCCTAGCCAGTGGTCATGTGCTGGATGCAGACCTCTGTCTGTCGGTGCTAATGGAGGACCAAGTAACTGACACCAGGAGACATAGAGAGGCATGGCCGCTAGACTGCCTAAGGCAGTTACTTGGAGGCTGGAGTGGGGGCCAGACTTGTCAAGTCAGGCCTCACAGAGAGAGTGGACAGAAAGGAAGAGCAGAAGTGGGGTTCTGTGTACTGAGAGCTCCATTACAGATGAGACGGGTGAGGCTCCCAGGTGCCGGCACACACTGGCTGTGGGCTCGCAACCCAACCCGGCGCTCTAACCTCTTCCCCCAACAGTTGAAGAAAGTGCTGCCTTCTGAGGATCACAAACCATTCTCCTTTTCTTAAAGGGCCACCAAGATTCCTTCCAACTCTCTTCCCCTTCTCCCCAGTGAGGCCTTTAGGGCCAGGGCTGGGCTGGGCTCTCCCCTCAAGCTGCAGTACGTCCATGGCCTCAGCTCAGGTGGGCAGTGAGAGCACAGGTCATGACCAGTCAGTGAGTACCCAAGCCGCCCTCTGAGAGTCTCACGCTCAGAGGCGCTGGGGTCCAGCCAGGTCTTCAGACTGTCCTCAAGACCCCTCAAGGGTGACTATCCCCAGTGCTTCTATCCATTATATCCCGAGGCTCCACTTACAATTTAAGAGGCAAAGAAGTCCAAGCACGCTCTCGCCAGCCCAGAGCGGTCCCATGGGCCCCGGCCACACCACTCACCTTGACCTCATAGCCAGTGAGGAACTTCATCTCGATGGATTTCTGCCGCACGGCCTCCCTGTCCCTGTCAGCAGCGGCCCTGATGATCTGGGCAGAAGACAGGAGGGTACCCGTGGGGCAGCAGGGGAGCCACATGCCACCTGCCCAGTGCTGTCCCTCACCAGGCCCTGCCTGGGGCCACAGCCAGGGCTGGGAGCCTGCAAGGGCATGGCCTGCCCCCTGGCACCAGAGCTGGGGGGCATACAGCCTTCATCGGACCGTGCAGATGGCGGACACAGGGCTGGAGTGCAGTAATTCTCCCATAGGGCCCCCCGGCATCCTGTCCCAACTTCACACAAAGGTGGACCAAGGCCAAGGGCCCTCTCCCGACCCTACCTGAATGTAGAGGTCAGTGAAGGATCGGTCATATTCCCGCGTTGCCCCAAAGTCCAGAAGGGCCACCTGGGGATGGGAGACACAGGGAAGGTTTGCCTAGTGGCCTGTGCTGGGTCTGTGCTGGGGGTGAGGGGGAGCAGCGGAGGGGAATGAGCTCTTCTGGGTCAAGTTCAGACCCCCAGGTCTCAGAACCCCTTACTTTATGTTCCCAGGGAGATGTTCCCAGGGGCTCATGCACCCTGCTCCGGAGAAGCCCTCAGGTCTAGCCACAGGTGCCCCCACCCAGGGGCTCACCTTGTGCTGCTGAGGGTCATAAAAGAAGTTGGACCAGTTGGGGTCTGTCTGCATGAAGTGGAACTCGAACAGCTCCCTCAGGCACAGAACCAGGATGTTGTAGCAGATCTGGGGACAGCAGGGGCCTGTGTCAGGCAGGCTGCCTGGTGACCCAGGAGTCAGGAGCTGAAAGTCCCCTGCCCCAGCCTCTGCCCAGGCACTCGCTGCCCTGACGTAGCACGGGCTCCCTCCACAGGGTCACTGCAGGTGCATGGCACACCCCCTCTCACTCAAACGCACCTCGTTCCGAACCTCCTGGCTCAGCCCTTCAGCCTGGTCCAGGGGGAAGCCAGACACCAGCTCCGTGGTCAGCACGTGGGGGCTGCAGAGCTCGTCCACGATCTCGGGCACGTAGAAGAAGGGGTGGTCCTTCAGCAGCTCCCTGGTGGGGGGAGGGCACACCTGGCCACAGTCCTCCTGGGGGCAGCCCCCAGCAGGACCCCTCCGAGCCACCCGTCAGACCTCCCAGGGGCGTGGGAAGGCAGCAGGCAAGGGGCCCAGTGAGGAGGCGCACCGGAACTTCCTGGCACAGGCGGCCTCCCGCTGGTAGTCGCACTCGAGGGCCAGCTCCCGCCGCAGCACGTCCACCAGGTGCTCCGGGAATAGGCCTGGGCCAGGAGGGTGAGGCAGGCAGCCCATGGTCAGAGGCCCCCAGGCCCCGGGCCCTCCCTGCCCCGCCCAGCGGCCAGTGCAGACCTTCTGGGAGCATGTTGCTCATGTTCAGCACGGCCATGAGGTTGTTGACGTCACTGTTGATGCTCTGCGCCACGCCCGGGTACTGCAGGGGAGCCAGGGTTACCAGGCAGCTGGGGCCCGCCGTCCCCATCACCTGTGTGCTGCTCGGCGGTGTCCCAGCTGTCCCTGCCCTTGGGCAAACCGGCGCCAAGGACCAGTGATACTGCCGTGACCCCTGGGCCCCATCACACCCTCGTTCAGCTTCGGCCCTCATCCCAGAAACCGCGCCCCACTCAGTGCCGCTCCCTCCAGCTCAGGCCCCCAAAGCAAACCATCACTTGCCCCCTGTCCCCGCCTGTCCCACACCAGGCTTGCTGGGAAGCTGTTCCACCCCCCAGCAAGTCACTCATTTAGCAAATACTTCTAGAGCATCCAGTGATGACAACGTGCTGGGGACAGAAAGACAAATGAGACACGGCCCTGCCCTGGACAGAGATGCCCAGAGAGAAGGGTGTGGGGCCCAGGCCCTGCCCTCTGCAGTCCCGCAGACCAGTGAGGCGCGGGCCGGGCCCTACCTGGATCTTCATGGCCACCTCGCGGCCGCCCTTCATGCGGGCCAGATGCACCTGCCCGATGGAGGCAGCCGCGAAGGGCCGCTCCTCAAAGTACTCCAGCTTGTCCCGCCAGTCGGGGCCCAGGTCGTTGTTGAGGGTTTTCTGGAGGGAGAGGCCCAGAGAGGCGGTGAGCACAGCCTGGCTGCCTGGGCACTCACAGCACCCCCCACACCTCAGCTCCCCGCTGGCCAGGGGCCCTGGACCCACCACCTCTCACCGTCATCTGTTTCAGCGGCATGAAGTCGGCGCTCTGCCTCACCCGCTCGAAGATCTTGGCCAGGTGGGGGTTGATGAAGGCATCATCTGGGGGGCACGAGAGAAGTCAGAAACACAGCGACAGCGGCCAACCGGACACCATCCGCCCTGGGAGGGCTGAGACGTCATTCCCTGTCCCCAAGCTGGAATCCAAGGGGTGGAGAAGGCAGCTGACCTCCTTCCCTCTGTGCACCCAGGAGCACCTTTCCCTCGGGCCGCACAGGCTCCTGACGCCATGGACAGAGGGCTCTGGAGAGGACGCTGGGTCACACTGACCTGGGGCGTGCACTCTCCTGGGGCATCGGGCTCAGCAGCCAAAACCAGAGCCGAGTGCACGCCAGACTCCACGGCAGGGGCCCACAGGACGTCCTGACCGTGGTGCGTGGCCAGCCTGGGCCCCATGGCACAGCCGGGAGCCCTGACGGGGCAAGCTTTTTAGGCACAATGTATGTAAGGGTAAGAAAATTCGTGGGTGGGGCCAGCAGATGGCGTAGCGGTACGCTGCCGGACTCCCATGTGGCCAATTACAATGGATGTCCCAGACCCAGTCCTCCCAGACCCAGTCCTCAAAACTCATGCCAGGCACATGTGTGTGCCCAAGAGCTCGAGAGAATGGAGGAGAAGGGACTGCAGCTTCTCACTTTCCCTCTCACTGTCTCTGTCTCTCTCTCTCTGGCAAGCACACATGCCCTAAGGCAAAAACCTAAAAAAAAAAAAAAGAAATTGTGGAATTCAAGTATAAGTTTACTTTGATGCAAGAAACTGTGGAAATCCATGCCTATTTTTTTCATAAACACATTTTCATGTGTTCTTTTTTTGAAGACCTATCGTACAGTACTTTATGATTATAAAGGAAATTTTTAGGGATTAGCAGATGGCTTTAGCAGTTAGGTCACTGGACTCCCACATGGCAGAGCATGGTTCAAGTCCTGGACCTGGTGGCTTCAAAATCACACCTTGGTTCGAGTGCATGTGTGCCCAACATCCCAGGAGGAGAATGGAGAAGGGATTGCAGCATGGCCATGCCCCCAGGCGGCGATTTCTCACTTTCCCTTTGTCTCTATCTCTGTCTCTCTCTCTCCAGTGAGTGCACATGCCCTAAGACAAAAATCTCTCAAATAAAATGTTTTTTAAAAAATAAAGACATTAAGGGGCTGGCAGGTGGCGTGGTGCTTAAGGGTGCTGGACTCCCACATGGTCAACCATAGTTGGAGTCCCGAACCTGGCGGCTTGCTTTCTCATTTTCCCTCTCTTTCTCTGTCCTCCTCTGGTCAAAGTTTAAAAATAAATAAAGTTAAATAAAATAATTCTTAAAAAGAAAGAAAAAAATAAAGACATTAACATCACCCATAATCAGATAACCTTCAGAGGGTTACTATTTTTTTCCTTTCAATGCGTTTTTCATACGCTGCACGGAGACTGGTCCGGCTTTTCTGCAGGTGTTATTCTCTCATGAGCTCTTCCCTGTGTGGTTAGAGTTTTCCACTGTTTTTGAAACAGCGTGGCTTACAGGGTCCCGTAGCCACAGGCAGGCCCCCCAGGGGACCAGCCCCGCAGGATCTGCTGCCTCCAGTCTCCATTGATTTGCTGGCTATATGCTGAGGCTCCTGGGGCAGAGCTCTGAGCCCACCTGGAGCCAAGCCCTAGGATACGTCATAGCCATGGAATTCTGGAGGATGTCAGAAGATCAGACTACAATGGCTACTGCCCACCGGCCTTCCAGAAAGTCACTCGACGCTGCAGGACCGCAGGCAGCCTCCCAAGGTCCTCTCCACAGCCACCGCCTTCATCAAGGCACCTGACCGCTTGTGAGGGTGGAGGGTGGACTTTGCCTCCACAGCTCCCACCAGGGCCTGCTCCCGTCTGCTCCTCCTTGCAGGGCACCATGTAAGGCCTGAGGCTCCCCCACTGCCAGCTCTACTTCCAGGTCCACACTGAGCCTCCCCAACTTTCCTCCTTGGAATCACATAGCCCATGTTCCCAACACCACAGCATGGTCGGCCTGGGAGCTCCCCCACCAACAGAGTAGGTGACCTGCGGCTGGGCTCTGGCTGACTGCTGGGGGGCCAGGATAAGGTGTTTCTTTCAAAACACCCACAAAGCAGCAAGAAAAACCCACTGTGAGCTCCCGTTTAAACACCCTCATGCAGGCCTGGCTCCCCGGATGAGCTCCGGCAAAAGCAGTCTGTCCCCACAAACTCCCTTTGGCCCTCTGCCTCACACCAAGCTTACCCTGGGCCAAAGCGCGGTGCCCACCACCGCTGCCCGGCCGCCCTCCCCCAGCAGTCCAGGCCCGGGCACAGGCTGGTGCCGGCCACACTCACCCTGGATGCTCAGCATCTGGCCCAGCTTGAGCGCTGCCCCGCGCACCTTGCACAGCGTGCTCACGATGCGCTCCGCGTTCGCCTCCGACAGGAAGGGGCTGGAATCCAACACGGCCTTCTTCCCTGTGGGCAGGAGGGCATCACCACTGACCCCCAGGAGGGCCTGGGAATGTGGCGGGAGAAATCCCGCAGAGCCTGATGCGGAGAGGGCTCGGGCAACGTCTGCTTCCCCTGGTTCTCCCAGGCTGCTGTGCACTTTTAACTCCATGTTCCATACCCACCTACCAATGCCGAGGCCACCAGGGCTCCCCAGGGCTCCCCAGGCCCTACCCGGCCCCTCCTGATGCTCGTGTGCATGCACACACATGTACATCAAATATACAGGGTCGCTCTCTCCATATCAGACTCTGGGACTGGAGGTTCTGCGAAGGGGCATGAACAACTGGAATGGGGCAGGACCAGGAAGGAGAGACCTGGAAGGCCAGTGGGCAACACTGGGACTGCCAAGTCCTCGCCTGAGCTCCCTGGCCTGGTATGCTGGGAGAAGGTCCCTGTGCCCGGACTCAGCGTGCTGGCTGCAGGGACAGTTCCAGCCTCGAGGGGAGAAAGTGCAGGGTTGAGGACAGCCTCAGGCGGCTGCTGCCTGTTCTGCCTTTTGCCTGCAGCAGCCCAGCAGACCACAGGCAACACGGGGTAATCCTAAGGGTGTAGGCCACTAGGGGGCGGTCAGGTGCAGGGCAATGACTCGGAGAGCTACAGTGGTGTGGTCAGGGGAGCAGGCCAGCCTCTGCCATCAGCTTAGCCCTGCCCAATTACTGAGTCTGCTCTTGTCCAGGGGTGGGGAGAAGCCTGGGCAGGAGTCAGGGCGCCAGGCCTCTCTGCCTCCTCAGCACCCTCCGTCGTGGGACTCCAGTTAGATCTGAAGCCCCCAGGGCTACAGCACAGCCTCCTCCTTCCCACTCTGCCGGCACTGGTCTCTGGGTACATCCCTATGGGCCTAGCACGGTGCTGGAGTGGAATTGAGCCGCATCCCCAGCACAGAGCAGGAGCAATGGTCATGCCGCTGCCCTCTGCCCAGGGCCATGTCCTGCCCAGTCTCTGCCAACCAGGGCGAGCGGGCTGCACCAGGCACGTGAGCACTGAGGCTCTGGAGAAGAGAAGCCCGGAGACGGCGTGTGCAGGGACATGCCAACACCTGGAGGCACGTATGTGGGAAAGGAACTGGGTTTCCTTTTGGGTTCCAGAAGGTAGGGCAGGGTCCAGGAGGGGAAGAGGCTGAGCTGCCCCAGGAGGCTGCACTGGGGCCCATGCAAGGGCGGCGCAGGGCAGCTGGGCCCAAAAGGGTCCCTGGAGCACCTGTTGGCCCTGTGCTGCAGCCTAGTCTGAGGCAAGAGCAGCCCTCAGGGTCCCTGGGGAGAGAGGCAAGAGAGGGAACTGAGGGGAAGGCCACTGCCCCAGGCCCCAAGAGGGTTTCTCCCCTAACACTGCACAGACCAGGCCTGGCGGACTCTGGCGTTCCTGGGGTCTGGGGACAGTGCCAGTCCCTGCAGGCTGCAGGCCTGCCCCCTGCTCCGCCATGGCTGTGAGAATGGCAGATGGGCCTGGGACAGGGCTTGCCCCACCTCAGAAGAGGTTCTCAGGGACAGAGCTGCAGAAAGCCGGCCAGGGTCCTCCAGGCCACAGGGCCAGGGCCAGGGCAGGATGCTGGAGTGCCATCTCAGCCTGACTAAGCCCAAGGTCCTCCTCTCAGAACCTAAGGCACCCGGGCCCCTTGACCTCAGCCCAGGGTCACCACTGTCCCTGACAAAGGATAACAGCTGTAACCCCGGAGCCTGCTTGGATGAGGTGGGGTGGTCAGCGGCCAGCTGTGGCCAGTGGGCATGCTGCCCAGTGCAGGCTGGCTCCCCACTCCAGAGAAATCCCAGCTACGTCTCCCAGTGTTTCAGCACGGATACTAAAAATACCCTCGCTAAATATTCTGTCCCCCAGCCCTTCCAAGGACATACACAGTGCCCCATGTCCCCACGACTCAGGGGCCTGTGGGTGGGGCTAGTGCCTCTTCCCAGAATGGAGAGTCTTGTGGATGAAGAGGGGCCATCCCAGTGGATGG